AGTCATGTATGGTATATGGGGCCATTCCGACCCGTTTTAGTGGTAAAAACAGGGAGTTGATTTTTCCCCCATTGACTTATAATGGGGAGGTCGCGAAATTGACCTGACCTTAGGTCAACGATATCAAAATTCCGAGATATACAAATTGTAGTTACTAATGACCTAATAATATCCTGCGACTTGCAAAGGCCTCCGACATCTACTGTAGCTCTGGCACGGTGACAAAGTTGCAAAAAAGTGACAACCCTATTCCTGGCGGGCTCCGCCGGGACAAGAAACTGGCGGGGGGGCCGATTCGCCCCCCCCCCCTGAGATCTCGAGAACGAAGCAAGATAGCGACAAGCGGTAAACGGCATCGGATACGCATGGACAAGGTCTACAATTTTTACTAAGGTCATTTTCAGGTCAGGTCAAAGATGACGTCACAGGGGTCGAAAAAGTCAAAATGGCGGCGCTAGATATGGAGAGAGTTTTTCTCGAATAACTTTCGAATTAGTCAAGATAGGAACAAACTAAGGGCATCATCGTGATCCTCTCGTCAATCCGCATCGAATGATATATATGTTGACCTCGAAAGGTCAAGGTCAAAGGTTGACCTCAGGTCACGTGACCTCGAGGTCATCATGTATATCATTCGATGCGTCTTGACGAGCTGAACACAATGAGATCATCTACGCGTCTGTATCTTGTTCCTGTACGGAGTTATTGGCCAAAAACCTTTGGTGACCTTTGATGACGTCACATGACCTCACAGCTGCCCAACAGCAAAACAGACCTCAAGGTAGTGAAGGTTGATCGTATATGAAGTCATGTATGGTATATGGGGCCATTCCGACCCGTTTTAGTGGTAAAAACAGGGAGTTGATTTTTCCCCCATTGACTTATAATGGGGAGGTCGCGAAACTGACCTGACCTTAGGTCACCAATATCAAAATTCCGAGATATACAAATTGCACATACAGGTACCCTAACTAAAGCCTGAAGAGAAGAAATTGATCGGTCAAAAACTCTAGCTCTGGCGTGATTGCAAACTTTTCTGAGGTAGGGTCACCAAACCGCCTCTGGTGACCTGACCTGAGGTCAGATCAACTCAAAATTTTCAGCCATGTTGCGTAGAAGCCTTTTAGGAAAAGTCAGAAAATTTGAGCTTCCTAGCTCAACGCGTTTGGGAGAAATAACCAAAAAACCTCAGGGGGGCTCCTGAGGCCCCCCCCCCCGCCAGGAATAGGGTTAAGGTTGGGTCATTCGAAGTGACCTGGTGACCTGACCTTAACACGCGCAGTGGAAGGGGGGGCGGATTTCGCCCACCCCTCCTGTTTTTCGCCAATAACTCGCGCCGCAAACATGATATTAATGTGAAATTTTGGCTACCTGTCCAGAATTGAACTGCGGATCTTCTAGTGCAAGAAATAAAAAAAAAATCGGGTCACAACTTTTCTAGTAATAGCGGTGTAAAGTCGAACATCCTGCCGCCGCGGCGGCGCGGCGGCGCGGCGGCCGGCGCTAGCCGTTACGCGCCGCCTGAATTGTAGACTGTGCCGGGGCGGGACGGTTCCGTCTTTACATCGCGCTCCTTACCGCTGATTATATTCGATTCGCGTCAAATTTTGTGAGAAGACTAAGAAATGTACAGGCAATCTTATGGTCAAAGAATTTTGAAAATCGGCCGGTAACAACTTGAGTTATGAGTGTGTAAACACAAAATTGTGATTGCCGCGTTTCCCGCGTCCGCCGATCCCGCTTCAGCCGGCGACATCTTACGCTTAGCAGGCTTCTAACTGCCATATTTATTGTTGGATTAACAAGAAATTCACCATACATACTCACAAATGTATGTTCTTTCGTGTAGTGAAAGAAAAAAGAAAATCGGCCGGTAACTTTTTGAGTTATCGGCGTGTAAACGCAAAAAAGTCGCTAATATGGCAGATTTGACCACTTTTGACCTCATTTGACCTTGAAGATATTGACCTAGGGTCATGAAATTCACACACAACAGAGTTCCCCTGGGCCCTCACCTACCATCCAAATTTCGTCTTTCTAGCTCCAGTGGGAGCTGAGATCTTAGGGGGGGCGACATCCGCCCCCCCTTCCACTGGGCGTAGTACTCGCAACCCTTCCACTGCGCGTGTTAAAAGGTAGGAGGTTCAAACTTGCACACCATGTGTAAAATTGATAAGGTTATAGTCATACCAAATTTCGCGGCGCTACGCGCCGCGGTTTTCCCGCTATTCGCGAAAAACCTCAGGGGGGGCGGATATCCGCCCCCCCCGTCGGTGCGCGGGTTAAGTTTTTCTTTAAAAAAAAAATCTTTTTTTTATTTTTAGGGGTCAAAATTCCAGAATTTCGAAAATCTAAGATAGCAGTTTTGTAGCGCCGTGTTTTCTCTATACAACCACATAAAGAACTTTAAAATTGCTTGTTAACTGTAGAACTGGTGAGCGTTTCAAGATGTCATGTTTTTTGCTCATTTTTACTCGAACATGACCTCAGTTTGACCTCAATAACTCCTGACCTGAGGTGACCTGTGACTTGAAATTTTGTGTGAAGGTGTCAAATTGATGCCCGGTAAGGTACTCATAATTTGGCGGCGCTGCGCGCCGCCGTTTTTCGCTATTAAAGAAAAACCACAGGGGGGCCAAAATGGCCGCCCCCCATCAGGGCGCCGGTTAACCCGCGCCCTGCTGGGGGGGGGGGGGTGTTTGAACACCCCCCCCCCCTTGTGGTTTTTCGCGAATATCTCAAAAAACGGCGGCGCTCCGCGCCGCCGTTTTTGGTACACCTTATCACACATCAATTCTACACATGTTGTGAAAATTTCAGACCAAGGTCATTCAAGGTCAGGTCACCAGGTCACTTGAAGTGACCTCACCTCATAAAATGTTTCAATGTCTGTCATAGCTACACCGAGTGACCGATCGCTTTGAAACTTTCAGTGATTGCTAAGAGCAATAGCATGTACAAAATGTATATCTCCGAATTTTGATATCGATGACCTAAGGTCAGGTCAATTTTGCGACCTCCCCATTATAAGTCAATGGGAGAAAATTGAAATGCGCCTCTTTTGGACGAAAGACATTATAAACACTCCCAAACACTGAATTACAAGTGGTTTAGACACACTGAGCATGAAAATGGTGTCCGTGACCCCTGTTTATGCCCTGAGGTCATCTTAGGTCACGAATGGTATCTAACAGTTTTTCGCAAATAACTTTTGATAGAGGCATGCTAGAGCGATGAAAACGCCTTAGATGTGTTCAGCTCGACGATACGGATCGACTGATATGCAACATGACCCTTTCCGGTCAGGTCATGACCTTGACCTGAGGTCAAATTTTTAAGTTGACCTTTCAAGGTCAAGTTATAGTTCATTCGATGCGTCTTGACGAGAGGAACACGATGCCGGTAAAAGTAAGCTCGTACAATGCTTGGGTCAAAAGTTATTGCAGAAAAACTGTTTCCGAAAAAATCGGCTATTTTTGCAGTTTTTGCCCCTGCAGGTAAAACCGTTGACGTTAGGTCAAATCTGAGAAAATTACTCAGAAAAGGCGTTAATAGGGCTATCGAATGTGCTTTTCCGCGGCGCTGTAGTTCTATTGGTTCCCGAGTTATGAGTTGGCTTCTTGGAAATTTTCGACATTCGACCTGGAAATCGGCGAAATTTTGCCTTCAATGACCTCTGGTGACCTGACCTTTGACCTGACCAAAAAATTGACCGAAGTGATTTCCTCATTATTTTTGACGCTCTTTCGAACGCCGCCTTCCGCGTATCGCTACGTGGCCCAGGAGCCGAGTTAGAAGGGGGGGGGTGTTCAAACACCCCCCCCCCCCCAGCAGGGCGTGGAAATCCAGGACCCCCAGCAGGGCGCGGGTTAATACAAACAGAACAGTGATAATTCTTGTGATATTTTTGGGTCCGTTTGGCCAGACCGGAACGGTGATCTCAATCTAGTGTCGTCCCGGCCCCGGGGAGAGTTAGGGATACCTCCCCGACCCAGGGGAGAGTTGGGGATACCTCCCCGGCCGGGGAGAGCTGTGGGATACCTCCCTGGCGCTCGCCGCTCCCGACGGTCATCCTGCCCCTGCCCGCGCTGCCCTTCTTCATATAAATTATGAAAACAAGAACATGCTCGCACACTCACGTAGGGGCAGCGTGCATGACCAGAACTCAGACCACCAGCACGACGCTGGATAATGGGTATGAGAAAAAATAGAATAGTTATATGACCCGTGATGACCTTAATTGAAAATCAATTCCATTTTGGAGCAATTTGAATACTTCTAAAGTCAGGTTGTGGCGCCATGGCTTAGTTGGTTAAAGCGCCTGTCAAGTAAACAGGAGATCCCGAGTTCGAATCTCGGTGGTGCCTTTTATACTGCTCTGGTTAGTGGTTGGTTCAGTCTATCGTTTACAAAACTTCCTCAGTTGATAGACCTGTCTGGAAAATGCTCAAATTATTCCAAAGTTGGTTGTTAGTGGTGGCATTATATTTAGGCTTTTCTCACGTCGCTGTTTCTTTTATATGTATATGCCTTCCCAACTCTTAAACCATTTCCAAGCTCTATAAATATAGACCGCTTTCGATGTATTTTATTCATCTTCGTTTGACGCATCAAAAAATCGTTATATCGCCGATCCCGGGGAAGGCAGCCAAATTTCGGCGTTCCACTCGTAGTGTATTATCAATTATGTCCTACAAACATTATAGACGCCCAGCTCAAACCTCGACAGCACAACGGACAACCACTACCGCATCATGCAAACACGAGCTCATATAGCGACGGGAAACACCTTAGTAGTTAGTGGCCGTATCCGGATCCGTGACCGGATCCACCGTGTCCGCCTCCATAGCCGGATCCGCCGTGTCCACCCCCAAAGCCGGATCCGCCGGATCCACCGTGTCCGACATCGGCGCTGTACTTGTAGGAATATCCACCGCCGGATCCGCCGTGTCCACCGCCGTATCCACCGTTTCCACCGCCGTATCCACCGTGTCCACCGCCGTATCCGCCGTGTCCACCGCCGTATCCGGATCCACCAGAGCCGTGTCCGGATCCACCAGAGCCGTGTCCTTCGGCGTAGATCTGTGCGTTTCCGCCGGCAAATTTGCTGTATCCTCCGCCGTAACCCTTTCCACCGCCGTGCCCGCCTCTGGAGAAAAAGATTAACATTTGTGTAGCGCTAATGCTATACAATCAAACCATATAGCCCGGGCATACAGTCAAACTATATTTTTATGATTCTGACCCTGACTCTTATCTACTATACGTCTTTTGTGCATATGAATCATCATTTTCCCCGCTTTTTTGTAATTTGCTTGCTTTATGACAACACCACTAGCAACATTTTTATACTCTACCAGCAAAGTCATAGATACATAACCCAAAATCATAACGACCAATACGAAGAGAAAATATAGGATTAATGGTAACCAGCTATGTGGTACATGTGTGTGTCATTTTTGAACTACTCGTTACTTACACGTTTACAGCGTGTTGGTTTTTCACACCGTATTTAGCACCTCCCCAGGCGTTGTAGCTGAAAATAAGATCAAAGAAACATGCTATTCGTACGCCATGGATAATTTGCATTTACGAGTAAAGCTACCAACGCGGTGACGAAAAGTTAGCAAGACTACATTTTGAAAGCAACATGCAAAGGAGCATTTTAATTACAAACAACACAAAATTAAGTCTGCTATACATTCACGACGGGAGTACCTAGATTTGATTTTTTCTGTGTTTTTTTTTTTTACATTGATTCACCAGAGCTGGCCAATGACCATACCTAAGGAGAAGAAGGTCAAACTTTGTCATCTAATCAGAATCATTTGAAAATATTCACTTACATTTCGACGTCGGCGTGGCTCTGAGCGCCCCCATAGCCTCCGGCAGCGGCCAGGGTCACACATACCGCAAGGACGACAAACTGAAAACAATGACAAGGTAAGATAGGTCACTGAAGAATTATCAAATAGTGCAGTGTGTCCCTCCGACATGAGCCTTATGTTGGTAAGCTTTCTGTGTTTCTTCAGTGGCACGATGCACACTGCAGCGAATCTCTTCCACTTTGTAAAGCCAGTGTTATGGTGTCTTACCTTGAACATGTTTGCTCGGCTGGTGGGTGAAGTCTGTGTCTCCCCTGGCCACCAGCTGGTTTTATACACCGCTGGGGAACCCCACCTCCTCGATGGGGGTGGGGGCCGCTCAGGTCGTGACCTCCCCGTCACCGGGAGGTATTGGTTCAACACGTGTGTCGTGATTTGAACGGAAAATCCCGAGGGTCCTGACACGGTCCACCAATAATGACAAAGCGAACCGTGAGGGGTTGTTTATTAATGTGCTCACCTACATAGATAAAGGTAAAAAATAGCCGCTTTCACGACGAGTTATCAGGCGCATGCGTCAACCTGGACCAAATATGCACTAAGTCTCTTTTACAACAAATATCTTCATATCACGAATGGTTTTTTAATGGAAAATAATGTCTGGTAATTAAAAAAAAAAAAAATCAGGCAAATAGGCGACTGTGGAACCCAATCTGACAACTATGCTGATCAAATTTATAAAAAAAAGAAACGCGATGAACTTAACTTGACCAAATCAGCACCAACTCCGCACGAAACGTGAACCATGTGCCAGATAGCCGTCGTGAAAAGGAGTAACGACTAATATTCCAGTTTCTAACGAATTTTTTAGGTGACATAAAAGTTGTAAAACTTCATCCCTCGCCGACCTACGGGGTGCGGTCATTTCCAAATCTTACCAGACGTTTTTTTCGCCAGCCCATTATTGCTCGGAACGTGCTGTTTATAAAAAGCTGAATATCAGCCTACTTATCTTTATTCAGGCTAAATACTGTGTCCCCAACTGCACTTTTAGGTCATATCGGGCTGCAGGCCTAAAACGTTATAATAGAACCTCTGCACGGTCTTGAAAGTGTCGCTATTTTGTAACTCAGATCTTAACTGAGGTCAGGTTGGTTACGTGACCTCACTAATCACCATTAGGTATAAGTCCAGGGGAAATATGGGAACTACTATTTGCCGCCGAAATTCATCGAAGACTACCTCCATAACATGGAATAGTTATTTCATACACTCCTTGCAAGGTCCGAATCTGAGCTTTTCCATTGTAACGCCACTTAGGTCACCTGAGGTTTTCGTTTAGCTTTCGATCAAATCGAGATATCGAGTCGTAAAAGGCACCATTGAACTCATGAAGAGTTGCTAAGTGAAATGCTATGACCTCACATGACCTCGTTCGATCGTCTTCGTGCCCTGAGAGGCTGTAGTCTGACAATGATATACCAAATATATATGATGTATGTAAATCAAACTTTTTAAGTTGACCTGGCCCTAACAAAAGTATATCATTCGCGCCGGATCATGTCAGGCAAATTGTGTCAAAATCGCCGCTCCGCCTTGCACTTTTTTATAGAAGCAGTTCACCCAACACCGAAGCAGCCCCATGGGACTTCAGAGGTCTCCGGTTGACCTCGAGTACCAGTCACTGCATCTCGCAAAGTATTTCCTTTTTCCTGTGAAGGTCTAGCTCAATTACGGGCAAAATGGCCAGTGGGAATTTATCTCCCCCGTCGGCCTTGAGGGCAAACCGATATTTGGATCGGCCAACACCGCGGCGAAGGCTGAAATCGAGTTTTGTTTCCAATCGCTGCAATGGTTTTCATTTTTTGACAAATGAAGCTTACTGCCATCAATGTTTCTTTCAGTTTGTGGATATGACCAAGCTAATGTTAAACAGATTGTAGAGACATTCCAAAGCCGTTTCATCCCAATTGAAATCTGAGCTTCACGGGAAAATATCTAGCATGCAGCGCTTTTGCTAAACTGAATCAATATAACGCCTTTTGGGGCGACTAACGGAGCGAGCGAGAGGGTGGGCCTTGCACGTGCAAAATTTCGAGGGGGTACCCCCAACTGACTTGTGCACGGCACCTTGCTAACCGGTCTCTAGCGATGTGCCAAATTTGAGCACAATCGGCCTAGCCGTTCTTGAGATCTGGAAGGGGCACCCTGCACGTGCGCACGTGCAAAATTGGTCCCAAGTGACTTGTGCACGGCACCCTACTAACCGGTCCCTAACTGTGTACCAAATTTGAGCGCCATCGGTCGAGCCGTTCTCGAGATCTGGAAACGACCCCTGCACGTGCGCACGTGCAGCAGCACCCCAACTCTGGCATATGGAGATGCAGTGCCTAGTGGGTGCCTACCTACATGCCAACTTTCAGCGCAATCGGCCAAGTAGTTACCGAGATATTGCAACAATTACAAAACTGACACCTCTTCGTTTTGCACGTGGCACGTGCATAAGGGGCCACCCACATGCATCGGGAATGGTCCAATACTTGGTAGAAGGAATGAAGCAACCCTAAAAAAATTACCGCGTGTAAATCGGTCAAGTGGTTGCTGAGATATAAGCCTCGCAAAAGCGTCCGCACGGCCGGCCGGCCGCTCATACTCAGAAATTTCCGTTAGGCCGCGTTCCCACTACGACCGTTCAACATCGTAAATTGCAAGAACGGGAGCAAACGGACGAGATCGTTGATCTAGAGACTTTTCTAAAAAAGTTGAACACTTCCCTAGATCTGGTATACGGGGCAAGAATCGTGAGACATTGGCAAACGGCTTGGACAAAGCCAATTGAGAGGAGCGATGATGAAGGAGGGATCGGCACCATAAGCTATTGTAAAAAAAGTTCAGAATACCTATAGGTACTTGACGTGGTAAAAGATCCCATGCAACTGAATGAATGATAAAATTAGAAAACCTTTTAAATTTATTAGCGTGTTAAAAGCAAGCGAGCATAAGAAAATATATCAACAATGCCAGCGAAAAGCATTCACAGCTGTGATAACGACAATCTACTGACTTTTGAAGAGAAAATGTGTGCAGTTGATATAACTCATTGTGGTGTTGCTGTGAATACCTTCGGGAAGCTATAACCGATAAACTGCAAGTTCCGATGATTTCTTAACCCTCGCACGACCAGGTCATTTCTCATAACACGAACGACCAGGGGGGGGGGGGGGTTGTTACGACCCCCCCTGACGTTTCGAAACGGAAGGTCGTAGAGCTTAGCGGAAAAAACCAACGGATTGCTCTCAACGAGATCTCGCGATTGGTGGTATATTTTTTGGTCCTAGGTCAACATTTGACCTACTTTTGACCGGTCAAAGGTCAAATTTTCGGAAAAATATACTTTTTTCAACTTTCGGCGGCGATTGCGGCAAAACGGTGGGAGATATCGACTTGAAACCTTCACTATCGTGTTCCTTGATCAATTCTCTATCGTTTGGTATGTATTTCGTTTCCCTAGCTCTAAAAATGGCGCGTTGGGAGCGCCGGAAGTCGGCAAGGTCACAGTCGGCGGCAGAAATTCGAAAAATCAAAATTTAAATTTTTGAAATCTGATGGTATTTTTGGATTTGGGAGGTCCATTTGCTCCCTATAGAAGCTAATATTGCTGCATATTCCCATTGAGGTGACAAGAATTAGCAAAATAGTGGTTCGGGCGCTTTTCAAAAATAGTACCGGACGCTGTTCCTCTTGTGACGTCATAGCTCCGTGACCTGACCTGACCCGGTCAAATTTCTTATACCATATGATAGCCAATACTTGCCCCAACATGCATGGGAAGTTTCATCACGATCCATCAACCGATGTCCGTACCACCGGCAGGAAACCTCGGGCGTTGGCACTCAGTTTGTGAAAATCCGGCCGGAGGCTGTACCTCTTATGACGTCATAACTCCGTGACCTGACATGACCCGATCAATTTTTTTTCGGCAAAAGATGCGCAAAGGTTGCCCCAGAGTTTCAATTTTCAAATTTTCAAAGATTTTCAAAAATTTCAAAGAGTTTCAAATTTTCAATACCCTCTGGGGCAACCTTTGCGCATCTTTTGCCGAAAAAAAAATGATCGGGTCATGTCAGGTCACGGAGTTATGACGTCATAAGAGGTACAGCCTCCGGCCGACAGTTACCAAACGTGTGCGCCGAATCCCTAGGTTTTCTGCCGGTGATACCCACATTGTTTGATGGATCATGATGAAACTTCCCATGCATGTTGGGGCAAGCATTGGCTATCGTGTGGTGCAAGAAAATTGACCGGGTCAGGTCAGGTCACGGAGCTATGACGTCACAAGAGGAACAGCGTCCGGTACTATTTTTGAAAAGCGCCCGAACCACTATTTTGCTAATTCTTGTCACCTCAGTGGGAATATGCAGCAATATTAGCTTCTCTAGGGAGCAAATGGACCTCCCAAATCCAAAAATACAATCAGATTTCAAAAATTTAAATTTTGATTTTACGAGTTTCTGCCGCCGACTTTGACCTTGCCGACTTCCGGCGCTCCCAACGCGCCATTTTTAGAGCTAGGGAAACGAAATACATACCAAACGATAGAGAATTGATCAAGGAACACGATAGTGAAGGTTTCAAGTCGATATCTCCCACCGTTTTGCCGCAATCGCCGCGGAAAGTTGAAAAAGTTTGATTTTTTCGGAAAATTTGACCTTTGACCGGTCATAAGTAGGTCAAATGTTGACCTAGGACCAAAAAATATACCACCAATCGCGAGATCTCGTTGAGAGCAATCCGTTGGTTTTTTCCGCTAAGCTCTACGACCTTCCGTTTCGAAACGCCAGGGGGGGTCGTAACAACCCCCCCCCCCTGGTCGTTCATGTTATGAGAAATGGCCTGGTCGTGCGAGGGTTAACAGTTTATTATTGCAATCCTCGATAAAACATTTAGCAAATTGAAGCAGGCTGCAATGCAACTGAATTTGCCGACACAGGTTCAGCGATTTAGGTAAACGAGTATAAGTATACGGAGCCGGCATTCAGCTTACAGCAGTGTCACAGCTCATGTCACCATCGTCATGTGACCACGCCATCTCGTCAGGCGATGCTGGA